GTGTCAAAACAGTTTGTTTGTTTTTGTTCTCACCTCACTTCTCCACACTTATTTTAAATACTACACCATGCGGCAAAAAAAAAAAAAGTATCCATTCTTTTATCCACATAACGGATGCAGTTGGAGGGTGGGTGGGGACAATCCAAACTGAAAGAGAGCAACAGACAGTCGAGAGCCCAAGTTTATCTCGTCCCACAAATGCACACTTCCATGATGATACCACACAAACCGGTGCCTCTTGCAAAATTATTCTCCACAAGCGACGCAGTTATGCATCTACATGATTTCGCAAATTGGAGGCAACAACAAATCGAACAAATAAAAAAAAAATACAATGGTGGAAAAAAGAAATGTTCCATCTACATCAGAAGACGGCCTATGCGCGTCCCCCTTCCCCCCCTTTCACCCCTTCACGCTCCGTTTCCCACTTTATTTATTTCTCTCCCTCCCTCTCTACATATATATCTTTTTTTTTTCCATGCACTTCTACGCATACATAAGAAACGCCGCCACTCCGCCCAGGAGCAGTTTTTCCGCAACGTCAGCGTCGCAACGAACAGAGAGGTCCATAATAGTTGTGGTGCGCTCGGCGTTCGTGTAAATGGGAATGCTAGCCACCATGTCGTTGGCCTGCCGCGTGCTCACCCACACAGCCCGCAGATCACATTTCAACAACGTTGAGGACGGTGAGCATGCGGATGCCAACGACACCACGCCATGTGCATCCAGCAACGCTCCTTGAAGATGAATGGACTTCCCTTTAAGTATGACACCAATGCCAACCCCGTCCGCAACACCGCCGACAGGTGCGGCCACTAGCCTCAACTCGACGAGTGAATCATTGCTTGTACGCACAGTGTACAACCGCAAGGCATTTAGAAATGTTTGGGGCCGCAGAAAGTCCATCAAGTCAAATGGTGTTGACGATGGAGAGAAGGGAAGTTTTACGTATTCCATCATCGTATCTCTCCGTCGACGCAAGAGGGCAAGCCACAGCTTCACATCTTTAGGCCCATCCATAAGATCCAACCATCTGTCCGGCACCCGGCCGCCGATGAGCTCCGTCCCCTCCCTGCGCAGCTCCAGTGACGGAATGAGTGTGCCCTCCACAACGCAGCATAAATCAGCAAAGGTCGCTGCAAGACTCGAGACGATGCCTGACAACAGTTCCAATTCGCTCATGAAGAAAACAGTCATTGGATTCTTATTATTGTCGCCGGGTGAAACAGGAACCACGCTTCCTTCGGGCTCCAAACCATTAGTTGCCCACAGCTCCAAAACGGGGGTAAGAAGCGTTCGCCATGCCTCGGTTGCTGAAGCGTTGACGTGTGCAAGATGCGAGAAGGAGCGTAAATTTTCTCGCAGGTACACAGCAAATTGCTCCTTCACGGCACGATCAGCGTTATCGGGAAGACTCAGTATAGACGGAGCATCTGCGTCAGGAAGGTGCTCGCGAATAAATTGCACAACTGCCCTATGCACGTTTGTGGCGGGTACATGCATGCCATCATACAACGACTGTTGGCACCTCACAAGGGTGTTATCGTTAAATATTCTAGAGACAAGCAGTTCCAGAACACGCTCATCGTGCGAGTTTTCTAAACGTCCACCGTAAATGCAATCTTGTAGTAGTCCACGTGCCGTCGTCCAGTCCACCTTATCACGCGAGAAGGTACAAAGCACATCCGCTGCAGACTTTAGATCAGTGGAAGAAAACTCGTAGAATTTCACCCAGCCCTGTGGAACATAACTCCTCCGTTCCTGCAGAAGAGCGTGAAACCAGGCCAAGCCAAACAGCACTTGAGACGTCGTCTTTGTTTTGCCTTGCAGAAAAGCTTCATCCCACGTCGTGTAGGATTGCAAAAGATTTTGCTTCATGCCTGGAGGTGCCTCTATCGTCACCTTTGATGACATACGTAGCAAGACGACGGGAAAGAAATCATGTGGTTCCGTTGTAATTATAAGGCGAAACCCTGCGTTGGGGATAGGCATAGCGCACAATTCCTTCTCAAGTATCAATGCCCAGTCCAGTACAAGATGCAGATTTTTCAAGAAGAGCCAGTCTCCCTGTGCGGCACATCGATGAAGTTGCAGCATGGCATCTTCGGTTTGTCCACCCCCCAAAGCAATCTGCGTAAAGCGTCCTTTTCCCACCACACGTAATGCAATGTCTTGAATCTCCAAACTTGGATCTGCCCCCCTGGAAGTGATGAGAATAAGGGGCCTAGTAGCCTTGCCACAACTGAGGGTTTCTTCCAGTGATGTGACGGGTACAAGTGTGTCAAGTTTTAAGAGTTTCACAATGATATAATGCATGAAATCAAACAAGCGATCTGGCCGAAAGGTACTAATAATAAGGAGTTGATCCATTAACGTAAGACTCGCATCTTTCGCAAGACTTTCCTCGGGTGAACTTTCCAGCATCCATTTGCTCCACCGTTCGCTGTCGCCTAGTTGCCACTTTTGCACCTGCCCTGCGGCAAGCTCATCAGCTGTTATAGTGACAAACTTCGTCTGTGATGTCGCTGGAGCCCATGTAGGGAATTCCGCATTGCCACCATGAGTTACCTCACCATTACTGCTGGTTGCATTAGTGGTCGGAGTACTAGTCGTGGCAGCCGCAACACCAATAAACACATTCCACAACGACGGAGGAAATTCGTCTGGAAAGAAACCTTGTAGCAAATGCATTCCAAATACAAGTCGGTCACTTTTTAAAAGACCTACGCTGACGTGAAAGAAACACTTCTGCGCAAAGCTGAGGGTAAGCAATTTTATTTTAGACTCCACATCTGAGTCTCCGCTGTATGCATGCAGGCACTCAACAAACAAATCGATAAAGTCGCTGAGTCCAAAATGATACATGCGATTCATTTTCTCAAGATCCCTCACAAGGAAGAAAATAGTGGCTCCCTTACCAGCAAATGGACGGTACACGTTACGTTTCTCGTCCAGCTCCATCTGAAGCGAATGGGACTGTTGTAGTGCTTCCGTAATACTCGACGCCTGCATCTTCACATCATTGAGAGCCCCAATCAGAGCTGCATTCTCCAACAAATTTCCATGTGAACTTGCAAGGTCATTTAGTAGTCTATCCTCAAGCTTGCCAAGTTCTAGTTTGAGATTCTCTTCCCGTTTCAACAACTCCACACGCTGCTGTTCAAGTTCGGGGCGCTCATGTTGAATTATCACCCCCAGAAGCTGATTCTCAAGACCGAACCGTGTGACTGAAAAGTTTACTTCCAACACCAACGCCGCGGCACCTGGAGGGAGGGCAAGATCTGTGCGCCGTGTAAAGAGCATAATACGGAATGTGTCTTGCCAATCTACTTGTTTGCTACCAACCTGTACAACACGTTTGGCTCCTGTTGAGAGAAGCTCTCGTCGCAGCAGAGGATACAAAATGGGCTCAATTCCATCTACGTCTACCACAAGAAGGGTTTTTCCAAACCGTACTGCGAGCTCTAGTGTATGGGCAAAGCGTTCATCATGCACGGATGTGATCTCCGTGACGACGTTGTTGTTCCTGAAGTGTGTCTTTACCCACTCAATCGCCTGATTTGCCGGGTCAACGACAAGCGGCGTCTGCGCCGCATCTAGCATGGCGATGGCATTCTCCTGACTGAGATCATCTCTTGGTAGACCCTCGCTCTTCCACTGCAGCAAATCACTTTCACTGCGCATGAATCCGGTCACTGTCACAACGGATGGAAAGTTTAGGCGGTCAGACCACTTTTTTAAAATACTGTTGACGCACATCTTCGGTTTCTTTTGCAATATAAGTCATGAATGCAGCCGAAACAAGTGTCCACTTGGGCAGTAAACGATTACTTGTTTCAATTTTCTCTGTATCTTGCGCCCAACGTGTCTTTTCACTGCTAAGCTTCGCAAGCAAATCACACGCCTTCGAAAGTTCATTCTCAGCCTTTGCAAGGATATCCTTCAATCGCTCAGCCTCCTTACACTTCTGTGAGAACTCCTGTCGCAGATCTTCAACAGCTGCGTCAATCTGCTTTAGCTTCTTCTTCAATGCACGCAGCTGCTCTTCGCCCTCCCTCTGATTCTTCTCGAGCAGCTGCAGTTGACAGTTGAGCGGGGATATGCTATCAAGAATGGTGGAGTAGTCGACCATGGCCCTCACCCAGGCTGCCATTGGCGCCGCAGCAACCGAGGCGCGGTGAATCACCTCCGGTCTGAATGACGCCGCCTTTTGATGCAGCAGTCGACCCACATTCTCACGTATTGCTGACGTCACTTTTCCAGTGTCAAAATCAAGAATACGCTCCTTCGCCCCACGTTCCCCAAGGAATTTTCGCATCGACTGCCATGACACGTCTGTAACGCCAAGAAGAGCGAGGACGCCCTCAAGCACATCTCGCACCGGCTCCGGTGGTGCCTTAAGAGAGCGAATCTCATTGAGTTGCTCGCTGCGAATCGAACTCACCGCCTCACGTGCCGCCTCCAGTAAGGGTTTGATTCCACTCAATTCATCTTCTACCTTTTGCCGCTTCACCACAATCTCTTCATGCTCCTCCTTAAGTCTCTCCTGTAACTCTTGCGCATTGTCCCTCTGCTCCTTGGACTCTCCATCTTCTTCTGGATCTCTGTCAGGGCGTTGTCGGCTTCGCGCTGCATCGCCTCCACCTCTTCCTTTTTGCGCGTGACGTCGCGTCGAATCCCATCTACATTCCCTTCTGCCTCATGCAACTTTGCAAGACCCGCCTCCAGACGCTTAATATCTGCACCACTGTTCTGACTCTTACTTAGCAAAATTTTTTCATACGTATCCATGAACACCTGAAATCGTCCTGGAGTGGCCTCGTTTCCAAATGTTTCATGCACTGCAAAAAGCTCACGATGCAGCTGAAAACCTTTATTGGCTGGATCTGCTTCAATGCTCTTGATAATACTTTTCAGGCGTTCCTTGCAGATTGTCTGCGCAGCATCTTTGCTCCATGTCCCCATCCAAAGCAAATCACAATTGCTGAGCAACCCTGGGTTGGACTGTAGACGCACAAGGAAGAGAGCGTCATGACTGTCCATGGTCAATACGAGACGTAGATTGCGGCGCAGACGCATCAAAAAGTATGCATACATATTCCCAATATACCCATCACTGGACGCATCTTCCCGCAGCGAAGTAAACATCGTCTCCAGTTCTTCTGGCGTAAACAGACCAGGAATATCGCCACTGCTTACAAAGCTATTGATCATTTCAACAAAACTCTCATCCACAATGTTATGATCATCCAGCAAAAGCACCAGACGCTCATTTTGTGTCGTAGCCCGCTGCACAAACTGTCGTATGTCACTCCGGAAGTTTTTAACACCATATCCTTGTATCATGTTCAGCGTCACAATCTGCATGCGCAGCATATACGCTGCAAGGTGCACCGAGTTGCGGCGGCCAACACCAGGTCGACCGACGAGAATAAGGTGACCGATAGGACGTGCTAAGACACGATCAATGCGTGTGATCCATGCGAGTGACTCAGGGATGATATGCACATTGAGATCCCTGAATTCGCGACCGTACTTCACCAAAGCCCGGTTCACCTCAGCCGCAATCATTTCATACGGAACCCCTTTAAGCGGCCTTACCCCACGCTCATCCACCTCGCTGAACCATGAGACAAACATAATAGGATTTGTCTCTTCTTTCGACGGCATCGAATAACCGATGGTTGCAAGTACATCAGAAATAATTTTTTCCGCACGCCGTCGATCATCTGTCCGGGAAAGGCAGTCCGCAAAAATGCAAACGCATTCATGCGCTAGGGCCGCAGGCAGAGTTGTCGTTTGAGAATCAATTGCATACATCAACAGATTGGTGACACAATTAGTGATGCTGCGTGGCGAAAACAAACAGTGGGCATATTCCTCCCCCCCAAAGCGACGTCGAATTCGTTCATAGACACTAATCAAGAACTTTGCCAAACCACTGCCATCATTGCACTCTGTTCCACTACCAATAACTGTGTTTTTCAATAGCAATGAGAAGTACGCTGTATAAATTTGTGAAAGACTGGAACGTGAAGGGTATGACATGGATACGATACACACGCTAGCCAAAAGACGCGGTGAAACCTCATAGCGACCTGCGGAGGTCGTAGGGTTCATACTGGCTACAAACTGAATCTTTTCAACACCGATCCATTCCAAATCATTGTTATAGAAGCCATGATACACAATTAATTGTAATAAAAATGCATGGAGTTCTACTGTGCCATACTTATCCGGCTTAGGAAGATTCACATTCTTCAAAATCACTACGAGTCGTTCACCCTCCTTTGGTCGGTAGACATGGCCTGCATTAATACTGGAAAGGGTGCATAGCTGTTCTAGCTTCTGTATAAGATGAATTGATGTGGTTTGCGCGCTGCAGTGAAGTACAGTCGTCTTTATGCCGGGGTATCGCAAAAAGCATTGTCGTAGGATGATACTCTTTCCGCAACCCTCATGCCCGATAAGAAAGAATGGCCGGAAGTTGGCGTCATCCACAAGTGGTTCAAGCATCATCAAGAGGCGCTGCACATCCGTGGTGTAAATCACAGCCTCTGTGCTGAAAAGCGCATCAGAAGAGCCATCGACGCGCAGATCAGCAGTGAACTCAGCAATCCGTTTATTCTCACGATCGTAAAACGTATCAAAAGGGTGTTTGCTGGAAATGGGGCTTAGTTGGCTAAGTTCGTACAACATGGCAGAGATCTGATTAGCACCCTGTGGATGCAGCATCCCACACAAACCTCGCATAAGGACGAAAACAAAATCCTTCTCGTTAATAGTGTGCAACACATGTGCAAGACAGCAGTTGATCATGCCTAGAGGCGTAGTAGGTAAAATAAGAGCGCCCAACTCTAAAGCCTTCTCCACAGCCGGAATAGCGTATCTCTTAATAAGAGGACCCAAAATTTCCCTGCATTCAGGTGTTTGTTTCCCTAAAAACGACTGCACTACACATTCAAGGCTGACATCCTTGGCGGAACACAAAATCACACCCATGCGGGAGACAGTGGCAGGTGACGCATACGCTAAACTGTGAGTTTCAAAAATAAAGTTCACGTTTCTTCCAAATTGAATGCGAACACCATTTGGAAGGGTAAGCAGCTTGTTATCATCCAACACAGAGTTCAACGACTCAACCCATTCTGGGTCAATGTCGCCATCGCACAAGATCCAAGGTCGATGCTCTTTAGGACACCTCACCACCTCTCGTGCAGCAGCGGAAAGCACGCCATCGTACCATTCTCGTGTGTCTGGGTCCATATATCCAAGAAGCTGGTGACGCGAAACCGCCTTCGGATTCATAGCGTAAAGAGGTACCTCAATATGAAGAATTTGTAATGCTTTTCGAAGAACATGCAGCAAGGTACTCTTGCCACTGCCACTTGGTCCAACTAACACCACACCCATGCGCTGCTTCAAAGCTTCGTGTAGCTGCAGCACCTTGCTTATCTGTGCCGGGATAAGTTGCAGTCCCAACGTTTGTACGGCCTCTTCAACAGCTGAATGAAGTTCACCATGTGTGAGTTCACGAGACGTAACCCCAGGAAACATGTCTGCCATTATTCCTTTAAACAAATTTGCATCATCCGGGGTAAGCTTGCTCAGCGTATTGGTATTTAAAGCCTGTAAAATAAGTTCTGCCTCCTCCTCTTCGTTGGTTTCTTTCCCTTGATTTTCCTCCTTCCATGTATGCATTAGGGTCCCCGCCAGACACAACACAGCCTTAAGGGAACGCAACCCCCAATCATAGTGTTGCTGCTTCGTCAGTAGCTGCTCACAAAGGCGGTAAAGTTCCACAATCTTTTTGGAAAGAGGTCTGGCATGATTAAAACCCTCGGAAAACAACAATGTGGCGGTGATCAACTCATTGTCTGGCACACTCATAGCCACCTCACGAAAAAGCTGCTTCAAGTTATCCGGCAGTTTTGTTCGCCCACCGTACCCCTTCCCAGTGGGGTTAAGCGTAACAAAAATACCGGCGTTTTCATTCACTTGAATGGAACGATGAAGCAACGTACATGAGGGCTCACGGTTCTTCAGTGCCTCTTGAATCACTTGAATCATTTGCGAAAGCGCGGATAATTGATCTATTTTGAGACGGTTAAATTCATCAAAGCAGCCCCATGCCCCACAGGTTACGATGCCAATGAAAATCCGACCCATAGCTTTGAAATCAATGCCCTCATCACAGTTAAAGACAAGAACCTGTCTCCCTAAAGCAGATCCAAGTGCCTTGACTGATTCTGTCTTACCTGTGCCAGCAGGTCCGTACGGGTTACCGCCATAGCCGAGTCCCATGCCTTTTGTAAGCACCAAATAACACTTGTCTATCAAGGGAGTATGCACCAGTTTTGGAGCGTTGCCTTGGTATTCGTAGGTGTACAAAAACGTCGTATCCATCATGGCGACAACACACCGGGAACCGTCCGGCATGTAATATCTCAACTGCTTCTGCCACCACCACGAGTCTAGTGAACGGACACCCTTTGTGTGTAGTAGATCCACAATTTCAATGTTGTGAATCACATCAAGAATAAGAGACTTAACTTTAAGCGTGAGCACCTGATTCTCCCCTCTAAAGACTTCCGTCAGACTAGCGAGTCTACTCCGAAAGCCCTTAACCAATTTGGCAAGTGTCCCCGACTCAATTGCTTCCTCTACAACCGCCGTAAACTGCACTTGTTGTGCCACCTGAAGAATCTGTGATGGAAACACATCCATCACGATTGGCGCCGCCACATCTTCGACCTTTACACAATTTATAAGACGACTCCGCAATGTTTCTCGCATTTGAGCATCCAAAGGGCACAACCACTTTTCCACATCGTCATCGTCAGCTATCGATATTTGCTCCACAAGTTGTACTTCCTCCCTGTCTGCAGAGACCATATGCGTAATCGCCTTCTCATCGACACTAAACACGACGGAGTGGATGCCCATAAAAAGCTTCTTTAGGTGTGTTTGAATCACAGAGGGGTTTTTGCCGTGTCCAAGAATCTCCAACATGTCTTCATCGCTGATAAAGTAGAAGCGTGGAAATCGCTCACGCTTTGCCTCCAAAAACTCTATCAAAGACTTTTGACAGCGTTCAATTTGCTCCAAAATACTCTTCAAGCGATCCACAATGTCGGTTTGAGAGCCAATGCTCATCACACGTGGATCCGCCTCTACCTCTCGCATAATGGCCACAAACTCTTTATCCACTCGCCTAAACCTGGCTTGCTCCTGTGGCAGGGCACCACGAGCAAAGAGAGGCTCAAGATATGTCCATTTTCGTTGAATGGTGTTCATCAGACCTAGTGTCTCGGCGAGGGCTGCAAGCTTCATTTCCCAGCCAGAAACCTCATCCGCAAAGTGAGGAAAGAAGGGACTGTCTTTAAGCGAATTAATGAGGGCCTGGTTGTCGCTTACTTGAGTCAACGTATCCTTCCATTCCGTGATGAGTTTCACCTCCTCAGGCATCGATGCATCCGTGGGAGTCATAAGCGTAAAAACCGCCTCCAACGCCCAGACCCGCATATCTTGCAAGGCGGAACGTATCTGGACCTCACCTTGGGCTCTTACGTGTAGTTGCTTCAGCTCAGCTTCTTTGGCGATGATCTGCTTGTAGTGGTCAAGAATGTCGCCAAAGGTGAGTTCCGAGCTCTTCATACCCTTTTCAATCCCGAGTAAACGGAACATTTCGTTCCAGTGTTCCGTCATCATGCCCTCACCACGCACAAAGCGTAGGAGGGGAAGAAGCGTGGACCACTCCTTAAGTAGGTTATCCAGGTAATCAACAATAACACCGCTCACACTGCTGTCGTTTTTGGGGATATCTTCTGCCGAGAGCTTGGCTCGCCACTCTTTAATGATGTCCTCAAATAAGTATATGTGGGAGCGAAACGTCAGCCAGTCTTCTTTGCGTAGTACATGTAGGTTTTCCCTAAAGTTTTCGTAAAGTTCCCACATGGCAGCTGTTTCTGTCACATCCTCCACAGTGAGCGCAATCTGGTAAAAGTTGGGGGGTGGGAGTTTAAAGTACTCACACTTAGACTCAAGATCACGTCCTTGCACCTTCAACTCCTCCAGCTCCTGAAACTCATCCTTCAGGGTGGCCAATGTCTTGTTAATGAGTTCCATCTTGTTCTCCTTGAAGGCAACGATCAGTTGGTGTTTCTGCCTCTCCCACTTGTTTGTAAAGCGTTGACCATCCTTAAGATGTTTTTGAATCATACTGTCCAATGAGACCCGCATCTTTGACACGGAAGCATCAATGATTTTGTGGTGCGACGCCATTGCCTCCGATAAATGTTCCCAACGCGATTTTGTGGCGCTGACGTCGATTGCCCTGCCAGACTGCTGACGAAGCACGCGGTTCATCTCCTCCACCTCTGTGAACTTCACCTGGTAAGATGGCATGGTTTCCACAAACTCAAAGTACGCCTTATTTGCCAGCCCCACCTCATCCATCGTTGTGGGTTGCCGCGTGATGATGTTAGAGGCATTAAACACAAAGTCATCAACCTCTACCAAAGATTTACGTATCTTCTTACGCATCGCATTCAGCAACGACTCCTCAAGACGATGAAGCTGTTCCTCCATGCTCGCCTTCGCAGGAATAGCGCTTACCGTAAAGCAGTCTACCTTTATGCTGTTTTCAATACACTGAAGCTTTTGTGCCTGCTCCTTGACAATCCTAAAACCGTCCACAAAGTGCGACAGAGTTTTGCAGAACTCCTCCACCACCGTGTCAATGTCTGGGGCACCGTTGACACCACATGCTCCAACCACCATATGAGCCTGAAGTGCCTTCCGCAGGCGGGCAAGTTTTGCAAACAGGTCCAACGCCTTGAGGTGAACAGTGACAAGGCGATCCTTATTCACAAGTGGCATAATTTCATACATTTCGTATGACCCACCAGCTTCCCGTTTTTGTTGTAATCCACGAAATCGTAGCGGCACACCCACAAACTCTCGCAATTTAACGTAATACGCCTCTCGCATCGCCTCTAAGGTCGGTTTAAAATGCACTTGACCTTGCTTGAAGACAAGTTCCACCTTAAATTCATCCATCTTCTCATGCAAGGTTTCTAAGCCTCGTTGATATTGGTGCTCCAGCGCCTTGTAAATTTGAGCGTCAAGGTGTCGCCGCCAGGTGTTATAATTGGCAAAGCGGTGAGTGTTAAGGAATTCCACAAAGGAGGTTCGCATGCCATCCACGGCGCTTCGCCACTGATCCATGTGTCGTGCAAGGTCAACATTATGGAGTGCAATCACTTGACTAATAAAATCGCAGTGGAACCGGCGAATGCTTCGATTGTCGTTACTGAGAGCCCCCACGGCGTTTTGAAACCGCGTGTTAATTGCATCCAGTTCATGATAGTTGGCAAGCGGAATGACACGACTCTCTGTGCCTCCGTAAAAAACATGTGCCCGCACATGTGTTGACGCAGTGTCCAATATCGGGCGGGTGCAGTGCAGCATTTGCCGTTGTACGGTGTTGTAGTTACTCACTATTTGCATCGTCCGTGTCGCGACTTTCATAAGTCGTTCGCACAAATTAATTGTACGTACCACCTCTTCACTAAGTAATGACTTCATGTCACCCGGGATCCTCCCGTTGAAGTTGTTGGTATGACGAGGAGTGGTATTCTCATTCCTGCTGCTGTTGCTGCCGTTGCTGACATTGCTGCCTCGTCGTCTTCCATCCGTGTTCTCCTCAGCATCCACAGCCATTTTGTTGGGGTCATCGCCACCACCCCACAAACTGCGCAGATTGTGATATTCCTGAAGGAGTTGCTTAACTGACGCGTGCAACGTACACACGATATAATCATTACTAACCCCATGAATGACAACCGCGTCTGGAAGATCCATAACTTTCTTACACTGTGCCTCCATCGTTTGCTTCCACGAGGCCAGCACATCTTGCTCACCTTCCTGTGTCTCCTGCATAAGGGCACGTGCCGACTCGAGCACTTTCTCAAGGTTTTCTGAGGGCCCAAACAATTTTGCCGCGGTCTCCGGCACCTCCGCGCACTCTGCCTGACAGCTCTTCAGTAACCGTAACGTTTGGAGATCTGTTGTGGCTCGACGCTTGCTGTTCTCATAGCGACCACGCACATTTCCTATTTGTTGAATTAAAAACTCTCTCACAGCCTCCAGCTCCTTTGGGATACCACTCTGAATGCTTTCCCTCCGAAGCAGTTCTCGATGCTGCTGCAGCAAACGAATCAAACCATTGGATTCTTGCTGCTGGCTGGCGAACAATTGCCTCACACGCCCTCGTAAGTTGTCTTCCAGGAATGAAAATTCCTTTTCAAACTTTTCTCTGCACTCTACCCACCGCTCATCGGGTGTTCGCTTACTGTCCGTAAGGCTTTCCCCCTCGAAAATAATCTCCGGTGCAATGGTGTTCTCCATCTTTCCCTGGGTAAGTTTCGACGCACTTGCTATCAGCTGTCGTATGTAGACAACGTCTCGAAGGCGTCCAAAGAACTTTTCAAGTGTCTTATCCTGAAACTTGCCTCCATCCCAGTCTACCCACTCCTCCTTGAGAAGCGTATGCGTTATCTTTTTCCACTGCGTGATCAACGCCAGCGCCTTCTCAAGGTGCTCCAAGTTCATGCGCCAAGGCCCACGCCAGTCGGAGCTCTCGAGCATAATTTGCCCCTGGATGTATCCACGAAGATCACCTGACACAATGTATAACAGAGAGGTGGCATTCACCTTTGTGCGCTCGTTCCGCGGGTTACGGTTCCAATAAAAACGGAGGGAATCATGCACCAGCTGCAGCACCTCTGACGCCTCAAGTAACGTAAATAATTTCATGCGCCACTGAGACGGAAGTTCACTCTCAATCGGTGCGGTTGAATAGGAAGAGATGGCATTCGCTAAAACCCGTAAATCTATCCACACCGTCATTAATAAACCTTGTGGTGGCCGTGTTGTAACTGACATGGATTCTGAAATCATCGATGCATTCAGCACCTCCTCCATCGAATTTGGCATCAGTTTCGTTTCCGTCCTGGAATAAACTTGTATACAAACTGACTTTGCGAGAATAATGTCCCACCGTGTGCCAGTGGGGCACATCAGCTTAGGAAATTGTGTTACAAGCTGTGCCCCCTTCTCCACATCCCCAACCACATCTGTGTAGAGCATTTCAAGCATCTCACATACCTGCGGTTGACTTGGCAGCGATTCCAACGCCCCCGGCAATGAGTCTACTTCGACAGCGTCGGCCATAAACTTTCCGAATGTCACGGCGTGCGCCTTTAGTGAGGCAACATCCGTTTCATCATCCTCGCCGATAAAGCGAAGGCTCGTCCGGCCGGTCACTTCACGCACAAGTGCCGTGAAGAGCCTCTGCACCTCATCCTCCAGACGATTCTCCTCGCCATCGCCGAGCGGGGAAAACTCAAACAAGACACAATCGTCGACACGAGTAACATGTGCGGTGCCAAAAGTCGCCTGGAGATGCCGCTGCGCCACACTAAGCAACTGCGACTCCACCGCTACAAGTCCCACGCACCCCATCACACAAGAACGAGAACAATAACACTGCGGGTATGGTTGTAGCCTCCGCTGCAGGTGCAGGGTTTTGAATTTGTGAAACCAATTTGAAACAATCTTCGTTTACACCGACCGAGTTCCTTTTTGATGTATGTATAAGAGAAAGAGGGGGATAAAGATTTCCTTTGCCCTTTTCTTTCCTCTTCTTCACTATCGTCTTTCCAGCTGCTTATTGTCCCTTCCTTTTTTTTTACCCAATATTATCCTGTTTCTGTCCTTTTTGCTTCTTTGATCCTCTCAGATTTTTCCTATCTCCCTTTGCGGCCGCGGGTGTACGCTTAGGTACTGTACTGCACAGACTCCTGATGCTCTCCCCACACTCACCCAGATCCCCTTTTATTTGTGTATGTGTCTGTGTCTGTGTGAAGAAGAGACACCGCTCCCGGATGTATCTTTTCCTCAAGAACGGTGTACAGACGATAGATCAAAGGGCAAGAGGCACAAAGCAACCAATCTGGCAATAAATAACACAGCCATCTGCATACATTACATCACATGCATTCATGCTCATTTACCAGATACATTTTTATTTTATTTTATTGTCTTCCGTTTAAGGAAAAAAAACAAGGAATGAAATATGACAAATAATACGGGGAATCGCCCCCCACTACAGCTTGCTTAATGCAACACGCATCGCGCGCGCGACGGAGTGAGCGGAACGCCAAGAGACACACGCATACATACACCGAGACCGACAGGCAAAAACGCCAGCAGAGACATATATATATATATATATATATATATATTA